TCAGGCCTCGGACACAATGGAACCCTGGCAAACAGAAGCACAGAGGGTCACTTACAATTGCACGCAGTAAAACTTCGGCTCCCCCTCCCCTCCGAGACCCTCCTTTCTCATCCTCCGTCCTCTTGTCCCCCTTCTCCTTCCTCCCACTCCCCGAACGCTGTATAGAATGAAATTTGGAAACAGATCTCCTTGCCACGCAGACGGAAAGCATGCTGCCTTGTGTCCTGTAGCAAGATTAGGATTCCTCTGTCCCGTTCACTGACTCGTCTTTCCTTCCCAACCTTTCCCTCTACGCTCTCACCCCCTACTCCTTATTTGACCTTCCTGGAAGGCCTTCGGAGCTGGGCATGCCGTCAGGGCGCCCCAAGGCCGTTGATCACGTCTGTGGCTTATTTGAATAATCTGGCATGGGGACCCTTGTGGCCCGGGTCGCTCGTGCCTTATCTTGGCAGGATTTACGCCGCCACTGGCCGAAGGCAAGAAGTGGAAGGAAATCGGCCGTCTCCCCCAGCGTCCCGGCTCCGGCTGCCCTGGCTGCCGCCGCTCACGGACAATCTAGTTGTACAAAAGGCTCTCTGGGCTGCATTGCTTTCGAAGAACGGCCCAAAGTATCTCGGTCCTAGGCCCGGGCAGCCAGGGAGAGGGGCGGCCAGTCTTGGCTCAGCCCGAAGTGCCCGCCCCGCCCCCTGTCGCTGCAGCAGCAGCCTCCTCTCCCGTAGCCCTGCGGGCCACTCTTCACGGCTCTCCGGTCTTGGGGCCCTATCTGAGGCGTCCCAAACACCAAATTCTGGCTCCTGGCCCCAACTTGAGAGGCTCCTAGCGAGGACGAAGGCAGGCTCGAGAGAAAGCTGGCGGGCCAGCAGATCCGGGAGGCCCGCATGGAGGCGGTGGTGGCGGCTGATTTGAAGGGAGGAGACACTTACTGGGATCGATGGGGGGCTTGTCTCCGCCGCTCTCATTCTCAGCATTGTTTTCGGAGAAGGCGCCTTCGCTGGGTTGTTTTTCTCTATCAACTGGAGGAGAACCACAAGCATAGTCAGTCAGGGACAAAGTGTGAGTGTCAAGCGTGGGACAGTCACCCCTTCTGGCCGACAGTGGTTCAGGTTTAATGCCATAAGGCCGGCTGGAGGGCAAGCCCGCGAAGGAGAGCGCACCGGGCGTGGGCTCCAGCCAGGAGCGCATGTACCTGCCGTCCGGCGCCGCCGCCGCCACGGGCGCCTGGGGGTGCACGTAGGGGTGGTGGTGATGGTGGTGGTACACCGCAGCGGGTACAGCGTTGGCGCCCGCCGCGTGCACCGGGTTCCACGAGGCGCCGAATACTGCCGCCTTGGACTGGAAGCTGCACGGGCTGAAGTCAGGGTGCTCAGCCAGCGTCGCCGCCTGCCGGGGGGGCTGGCCCAGGGTCCCCGGCGCATAGCGGCCAGCGCTCAGCTCATCGGCGGCGTCAGCGCCCAGCAGGAAAGAGTCCACGTAGTAGTTGCCCAGGGCCCCAGTGGTGGCCATCGCCGTGCCCAGCGCCTGGCCGGCCCGGCCCGACCCACGGAAATTATGAAACTGCAGATTTCATGTAACAACTTGGTGGCACCAGGGGGGGAAGTACAGTCACCTAATAAGTTGCCGGCGCCTGCGCCCCCATTGGCCGTGCGCGTCACGTGCCCGCCCAGCAGAACAATAACGCGTAAATCACTCCGCACGCTATTAATGGCCCAGTGTTTTGCAGTCATAATTTTTATAGCAAAAGCCATATGTTTTTATGTAAAGGGATCGTGCCGCTCTACGATCGGGTTTGTTTTAATTGTGGCCAACGAAGATTAAAAGATCAAATCTAGCCTTGCCTCTGTACTCCCCCTTCCCCCCCCCATACACACACTTCTTAAGCGGACTATTTTATATCACAATTAATCACGCCATCAGGGAGGCGCGGGTCCCGCGTGCGAGTGCGGCCAGCGGAGCCCCTCACATAAAATTAGACAATAATTGAAGCCATAAAAAAGCAGCCAAATCGCATTCTCGCTCTACTGTATTTAAATCTATATTTATGATATTTCATAAGGAGTTATTGTTTCAGAAGCCACACAGGCTGGCGGGAAGTCGGGAACGACCAACAGATTCGTTTGCCTCGCCCTGGCTCCCAGCAGTAAAAATTTACGAGGACTTGGAAAGGTTAGACTGTTGTGTTTGGTTGGCGAGCTCCCTGTAAATAATTCCTGCGGTCCCCGGGAGAGGCGAGTTTACCCCCGGCCGCCTGCGAAAAGTCAAATTCAACGCAGGATCCGTCCCAAACGGAGCAGCCGCCGGCCCTACCAGGGCACTCCAGGCAGGGACTGGCCGCTCAGGAAGTACCGCGGGTGTAGGTCCCCACGGCTACCCGCCTGGAGCGAGGGGCGCAAGAGCAGTCCTTAAATTCGCCTTTGTTGCGAGGACCCCACTGAGGAGCTGGCCAGGAGGGAGCGGCCTCGCCCCCAGGGCGAAGGGTTTGAGGGCCTGGTTGGTTGTGTGGGGCGCTCGGCCCCCGGCCGTCGACCCCACGCAAACGCGCACCCAGCCCGCCCTTCTCATCAGCTGGAAATCAGGATTCCCAGGCGCAGGCGGCTGGCGACCCAGCCCTGTGTTCCAGCCTCAGAGGCTCTAACCCTGAGTGCTGCAAGCCTAGTTGAGCTCCCTGAACCCCAACTGGGGAAAAAACTCCAAGTGGCATCAACGGAAGGAGAGTTCGGCTTGGGGAAAGGCAGCCTCGCCTGAGACCCCGCGGCTCCGGCGGCTGGGAGGTCCGCACCGATGTGGCCTGTCCCGGGGCCGTGTGAGCCTTTCAGGGCTCCTTTCCCCCTTTCCAGCTAGTACTCCGGGCCTCGCCTTGGTTACCTACGGACCTGGCGACTCGGCGGAGAGGTACAAGGCCCAAAGAGAGGCAACCACAGCTCAAGGCCAGGGCTGGAAATTAGAACGGGGAGGGGCACAAGGACATCGACTCCAGTCCCATTCCTGGGCCTGGCCACATTGGGGAAGTTTATTTCTCACCCATTCCAGGTAAATTAAAAGGTCACAGGCACTCTGTTAATTGGAAGGAAACTCCCCACCCCACCCCCAATTCCTAACAGAAAGCGGCGACTCCTAGAAAAGGGGTAATCAAATTCACGTGTGGATACTGTGCCTGCAACAGTGTGTTTTTCATTAGCCCACTTCCCTGGCGGCGAGGCTGGCGGACTCGGGCGCTTCCCTCCCTCTCTCTCTTTTTTGCCTTCATCCTCACCAGCAGTTCCAGTAATCCACCCCCCGCACCAAACACCCTGACACACTTCCGGCTGGGACTCTCATATACCAGCGAGGTTGCCAAGCCGGGCGGATACCGACAGAGTGCCCCTTCCTGCACCCACGCCTGGAAGAGGGAAGGGGCCGACATAATGAACTCCGACAGGGCCCCGTCATGTCCGCCTCATCTCCCTCCCCCTAATATTTTCCTTGCCCTATAAATTCCTCTAGGTCATGCCCACCCCCACCACAGGCCACCCTGTCCTAAATACCCCGCAGTCCGCCAGGCCTCTGAGATTTTCATTTAAAAAATTAACCCTGGAGGAAACCCTGGCTCCTAATTTTAAGTGTCTGCAAATGGGCTGGGCATGTCTGGCTACCTTTTCCACTTTTTATACCAGAGAAGACACTGATTATTTTAGTATTTTTTAAGTAAAAAAGCTGTTCCTTTAAACAGCCTTAGCCCCCAAATAAGAGAATTGCTGAACAATTAGCAGGCCTTGAGTGTTAAGCAGATGTTACTGGTGCCTAGAAAGAGGAGAAAAATCAGAAAACCAAATATTGTCTCACTTCAGCCCAAAGATTTGGAGCCAGAATATTCAGACTTTTTTGTCTGCTTTTATTTTGGAAGTGAAAGAGATTACGTATCATGAAGAAATAGTAAATGACTATAATTTAAAACCGCCCCTTCTCGACTGAGATTTCTAAAACTGTGATCTCTGAAATTAATAAATATCCTGGTCCAGAAAATGGCACGGAGGAGTTGAAGGGAATGGGTTATGTGGTCCTTTCAGACAGCAGGCCGGTGGCTGTGCAACAGAACAGTTCCTGGGCCTCCAGTCCAGGCAGGGAAGGGAAACAGCTCTGTGGGCAAGAATCTGTAACTGTGTGTGTTGGGGGTAGGGAGAGATAGTTTGCTTTCTGTTTTCTGGAGTGAAAATGGTCAGACTGGCTCCCATCTGTAGACTACAAGTTGGAACGATGACCCAAGTTTATATCAATGGCTCTGGAATTTGGGATTCTTTTTGCCCATTTGAAACATACTGGCTCTGCTAAGGGTCCCCTTCTCCAGTACCCAGCGGCACAAAGGTGCCGTATGGAACATATTTTGTACCTAATAGAAGTCACTAGCAGGCGAGCAGTCAAGCTTTGCCCTAGCCAGTCTCCCTCAATGCGGTCAAACCCCAAGCTGTGACCGGCAGGCCGGGAAGAGCCGGCTAAGAGCTTCCCAGAGAATGGCCAGGCTCCAGCGAGGCTGGTTGGGCCTCAGCTCCAGTTCCCAGTGAGGCTAGCAAAGGCCTCCCTGCCCTCGATATGTGCACACAAAGCTGCAGCGAATGCCCCCTAATCAGATCTCCTAGTCAGCCTTTAGCGACAGGCGGAGACGAAACGCAAGGCCGCCGCCATCCGGTCGTGATCATAACCGAGGCCTTGTCTGCACAGTAACACACCAGGCCCAAACCCACCGCCCTCGGCAGCCGCCCCACGCGGGCCCTTCCTCAGCAGACTTCCCAACCTCTACTTGAGACACAGAGGAAAGTGAGACTCCCTAGGCTCTCCTGAAGCCAGCCCTAAGCCTCTCCCCAAGGATGCTTCGGGAAGGAGATAAGGAGGTGAGATAGAATCTGGCAGAGACGGAAGATGAAAAAAAGACAAACGGAAGAAAAGAAAGCAGAAAGGAGCAAAGGGAAGAAGAAAAAAGAAAGAAGGGATAAAAGAGGAAGGGAAGAGAGGGAAAAGAAGGAAGAAAAGAGAAAGAAGCGACTCCTAGCAGAGGCCGGGCTTACAGAGAGAAGGGTAAGTGACACGGCCAGGATCCCAACCTCTGCCTGCCCTATCTTCCTAGTCCAGCCTGGGTCTCCACTGGAAGAAGATTCTTTCCTGAGCTCACACCCGGGACTGGTGTGTGTGTGTGTGTGTGTGTGTGTGTGTGTGTGTGTGCGTGCGCGCGCGCGCGCGTGTGTGTGTTCCAGCCTTACAAGAGACTGGCAGGAGGTCCCTGGGCAGGCGCAGGCCTCTAGTGGGGGAGGCTCAGGATGGAAGCGTGCGCCCCTGACCTTGAATGGCCCAAGGCCCAGAATTCCTACCACGCCCCCGGCGTCCGCGAAGGAGCAGCCAACCTGACCCTACCTGCTGTGGGCCAGGTGGAGGTGTGTGGTGGAAGGAGAAAGCCGGCCGGCTGGCAGAGCGCTACGGAGAAAGACACAAGGCTCCTGCGCAGGGAAAGCCGAGGATGCCACCGCAGGCCTGGCACGACCAGGGCCGTGATGCCCCGCCCGGCCCGACCCCAGCGCGCAGAGTACCTGGAGACGATTTCAACTGAAGTAATGAAGGCAGTGTCGTGCTGTCGAGAGAAAGGTGGATCCCAACAACAGGAAACTACCTAAATCACCGACCAGTTCTGGTGCTGCCCGCGCAGGGCTGCCTCGCCCGCCGCCGATGCCGCCGCCGCCGCCGCCGCTGCCGTCGCCGCCGCCGCCAGGAGAGAACCCTGCGATCGCGCCCGGCCCAGCGCAGCCCCTAGGCAACCTGCGCCCGCCGCTGCAACGGAATGCCCCAGGCAGTCGCAAATGCGTCACTGAAGGGGAAGCCACAGGCCCCAGTAAGGTATGCCTTGGAGGGAGAGGGAGGAAAAGAGAGCGAGGAAAGGCAGGAAGAGAGGAATAAAGGCGGGGAGCAGGCGAGACGAGAGTAGCTCCGAGAAGCAGTGTGCACGCTGCTTTCCCAAATCTTGCAGCCCAGCGAGCCGGCGCCAAGCGGCGGTAGCCGTGTAAGGCTCGAAAGTGCCAGGGACAGTACAGAGCCCGGCTGCCTGTCTGGCCCCGGCCTCCCGCCGCTCGCTCTCCCGCCTCTGCCTCCTAGCTGCCCTCCCGCCGGGGCGCGCGCTCCCGCGCCCCCTCCCCCTAGCCCTCCCCCCACACACACACAACTCTGGCCAGCAGGAAAAGCGTGGCCCTACGGAGGGCCGCCAGGTGGGGGAGGCCGTACTGGGGGAGGGGGCGGCCCCCATGCCGCCCAGCCCAGGTCCACCTAACGGCTGCCTCCAGCGGCTAGGGATGCGCTGTGGGCCAGGCCTGCTCCCCATTCAGATTGAGGGTCATCTGAGACTCAGACACCCGCAAAATAACCGGCCTCTGCAAGCCTCCCTGGGGCTCCCGAAAGAAATCCTGTTTGGCTTCCTCTGTCTATGCAGCTCCCCTCTCAACTGAAATCACTGGTCCAAGACAGCCACAATCCAGATATACTAGCAAGCCATAAAACTGAACAAAAGCCGACAAACCTTACGGCACCAGGGCTATAGGGCCCAGACAAATTACGACCGTCTAGGTAATATTTAAATAGATGCCTAAAGTAATTGCAGGGGGCTCGGGTTAGTCCTCCTGTTGTAAAAGTGGTGAACGGGATAAAGTGGAAGGTGAAGATAAGAAGTCAAAAAAGAGGTAAAATTAAAAAGCTTCATTCCACAGCTTTTATTCTATAAGAACATAAACATCGTCTTTTTCCACGCACAGCAGCAATACAATATTAATTTATTCTGATTTAAGATTAGAAGTAAATAGAGCTAGAACTAACATTTATAATAACGATAGAATGCATTTGCTTAAAACAAGATTGGCAATTCTTCATAATAATAGACATTTATACAGATTTGTATTTATAGTTTTTTTCTTTTTCTGCATCTACAGGTTTGACCCTTTTATGCATGTAACTTCACAGTATAAAGGAAATCCAAACAATGTCTCCCTTCTCTAGTTTATTCCGCTTACCCCAGTCCTCCTAGGCTTCTGTGAATTTCAGAAAGCAAAAATAAAAATTAAAAAAACTTTTTGTTCAAGGCGATTTTTAAAAAACAACTTCACAAGATAGGGAGAATTGTGGTGTGCTTGTCGCATGTTACCAGTGGTAACAATTTTAATGACAAAAAATCCACTAATTCCAAATGTATAAACAAAACTACATTATTTATCTACAGCTAGAAGGATATGGAAATTTAGAGGTAAATGAGACATTTTAGTCAAGCAATGTAAGACCTTACAGAAACTGGAAAAGCAGTCCCCTTCTGTTGGTAATTTTTTTTTTTCTTTTTAAAGCTGAGATATCTTACAGAGGAAGGAAAAATTACTCTTTTTTACTTTCTTTCTTACTTTTTAAATCAGCCAAAGTCAAGCCCGTTTGCCAACCTGCATGTCCATGCCTGTAAGCCCTTCTCTTGGCCAAGGAAGAAAGGAAGAAAGAAAAAAGAAACCCAGGGGCCTGTATCCCCTGATTAAACACAGCACAGCACTCCAGGCAGACATGCCCGGTGGCGGCTCCTTGCACCATTGACCTCAGGCCAGACACCTCAGCGCCAACAATGGGACCTCGGCCTTCCGGCTAGGTTTGCCCCAGGCTGGGCAGGAAACCAGCTCGGCTGAACACAGGGGCCATTTCAAGCAGTAGGACCCCAAGACAGCAAACCCAGCCCAGTCACGACTTGACACTTAGGACAATATCTATCTCTATAGAATTTTAGCACGATATGGCTTTTTCCCCCAGAAAACAACAAATAAACCAGCACCAAGCAAACACAAAGAAACAAAAAGTCAGAACAAACCAGCCCTGCACAGATGTAACGGCCCAGGAGATGACGAGCGTGGGAGGGAAGAACAGGGCTCCAGCACAGGTGCGAGTTCCTGGGCAGAGGCTGAAGACAGAGGGAAGGGACCAGCGCTCAGGAAGTGAAAAAACCGCGTTGCCTGGAGATTCATCAGGAAAAATTAAAATTGGCTGTGAGCTCCCGAATCCGGTTTTCTCGATTCATTTTCTTCAGTTTCATCCTGCGGTTCTGAAACCAGATTTTCACTTGTCTGTCCGTGAGGTGGACGCTGCGGCTAATCTCTAGGCGCCGCTCACGAGTAAGGTACATGTTGAACAGAAACTCCTTCTCCAGCTCCAGTGTCTGGTGCTTCGTGTAGGGGCAGCGCTTCTTCCGACCACTCTTTGCCGTGAGCCAGTTGGCTGCGTTTTCACCTTTGGAATTGCCTGGCATGTAAAAGAATAAAGAGGGGATGATTAAGTCGCGGCCACACGGGCTGCCCGCGGGAGTGAATTGCCTCCGTTTCTCCCATAAGAGAGATGTCCCAAGTCACAGAGAAGAGAGTCATGCCCCCGTTTTTGGCTTGCTGAGAGCAAGCAGTTCCTCCAAAAGTCATGACAAAAATCGAGTGGGCCTTCAATCTATATGATCCTTCCAATTTACATTTCCCCCACTTTCCCAAACACCTGTTTTAGCATTAAGCCGTAGATGCTTGCAGAAGGAAAGGCCTGGGAGGGCAGACCGTACATCTTGAACTTAACGCTTTTCTTTGCTTCTTCCCATATGGCAGACAAATATTTCCTGTAGCCCCCAGGCTAGGAGCGCGGGGTGCTTACTTGGAAGGAGGGCCAGGCAGCTTGGCTGTCTCACCCCAGGGCCCTGATTGCCCAAGACTCGATAAGGGGAGAAAGAAGGGCATCATTGGTCCAATGGGGAAGAGGAGGAGAAACCTATTCGGGGGTCCAGGGCCCTCCCTCAAGTTTCTCCAGGAGCCAGGGGTAGATAGCTGGGCGATTCCGAGGTCCAGGTGAAGCGAAATGTCCCTTCTCTGGCTCTCAGCTCAGGGCCCCCAGCTTCCAGGCTGGATTTGCCTTTTCTTCTTCCCGCAACGAAGATTCCCGCCCCTCAGCAACTTTGAAAAAAGCATGGGGATCGTAAACTCGAACTTCGCCGGTTAATGGGCTTATTTATTGGCGCTGGCGGCTGCTTATTTTGGATGCCTTACAAACATCCGCGCTATCTGCGGCCGAGCTACTTTCCCTCCCTCCCCCTCCCCCCCGCGTGGGCCGCGCCGCGAAGGCTGGGCAGGGACCAGGGCTCTGGGTGCTCCCGGCCACAGGGAAGAGCGCACAGGAGGGGGCCTGCTCGCTGGTGTCCTCGCCCCGAGTCAGGGGAAGCTGAGGCCAGCGCCGAGGACGTCTTGCTGTGGGGCGCTAAGCCGGACATGAATTTTACTGCGTCCCCACGCCCAAATATTAAAAAGCAAGTTCACAAGGTCAGCCTGCCTGCAGCTTGGGCCAAGGCCGGCCGGCTGCTGCGCGGGCTCCTAGTTCTCTGATCCTTCTCCTCCTTGCGTCTGCCTGTCTGCCCGCCTGACTGCAGCCCTCTGCAGCCCTGCTTACCCAGGGAGTCCTTCTCCGGCGAGGCTTTGCTGCTCTCGGAAGGGGCCGGGGAGAGCTCCTCCGCGGCGGATGACGACGCGTGCGCCTCCTCGTCGCCCTGCGAGCCCCCGCCGCTGCCGCAAGCCAGCGTGGGGGGCGGCGGCGAATCGAGGGCTCGCTCCTTCCGGGCCACATCGGCCGAGCCAGAGGCCAGCGCTGGCGGCGGATCGAAGCCTCGCCCCGGAGGCTGCGCGGGGAACGGGCCGGCCTCGAGTTGCTGCGCCCCGCCGCCGCCGCTGCCATAGCCCTTGGCCGTGCCGTAGGCCTGAGAAAGGCGGAAGTAGCCAGGCACTGGCACCCCGCTGGAGGCGCCCAGGGCACAGCCGTCGGGCGGCGGGCCCCGCGGGAAAGGAGCCAGTTCGGCAGCGGTGGCCGAGCCTTTGGGGCATTTGTCCGCCGAGTCGTAGAGGCAGTAGGAGTTCTCTTCTTTGATGTTCTGCGCGAAAGAGCACGAGGTGGCCTGAGCCGGGGGCTGGGGTGGTTGCGGCGGGGGCGGCGGCTGCTGCTGGGGCGGCGGTGGCGGCCCCTCAGGCGGCTCCATCCGGCAAGACCGTGGCGCGTCTAGCCACAGGTCTATGGGCGCGGGCCCGTAGCCGTGCACCCCGGAACCTAGACCCCCGCCACCGCCACCGCCGCCTGGCGACGCAGCCTCATTGCGCTTGCCGCCCAGAGCGGGGAAGAGCCCGCAGCTCTGCAGCCCGTAGGGCAGGTCGGCGGCCGGCGGCAGGTAGACCCCGCCGTGGGCGTAGTAACCGCCACCGCCGCCGCCCCCCGCGCCGCCACCACCGCCGCCCGCCTCGCCTCTGCCAGAGTTGATGAGCGAGTCGACCAAAAAAGAGTTCGCGGCGGGGCTCTCCGAGCATGACATTGTTGTGGGATAATTTGGCGAAGGGAGCAGATAGCCCTTTCTGGCTGACATTTCTTGTGCAAAACATGCTGAATACGATTAGCAATCCCCCCGCACCGCGGCGGGCGCCCGCAGCCAATCCCGAGCCAGAGTTTCCGCGCGACCACTCCCAGTTTGGTTTCGTAGGCGCGGGGCCGCTCTCCGAGGGCGCCCTCGAAACCCGCGATTGATATAAATATGTAATCTGTATTGATGGGCCAGGAGATGCACGCCCGGCACCTTGGCCTGAAGGCCGGGAGCTGTGGGGGCTGCCGCAACGTGGCTGGTGGGGGGCCTGGCCACTGGGCTCGCCCCGCCCCTACCCGGACGTGAGCCCCATACCGGGGTTCGTTTGAAGCGCCCTTGGGCCCCGCACACGAGTGGAGTGTTTATGGCGCGCGCCCAGTCTGCCTTGGGTGCTCACCATCCCTGTCGCAGAAACTGCCACTAGTCCCCGGTGTACTCTGACCACTGGCCATGTCGGGGACTCACTCGCTTCCCATTCAGCTCTGGATCAGGAGCTGGCCCCTTGTCTGAATTCTGCATCCTCAAAATGACCTGGCCCTATGGCTGTCAAAATCCTCAGAGTGTCAGGAGCCCAGAGTGAACTGGAAGCCGACTTTCCCACAGATTTTTCCTCAAAATGCAATGGTTGTTCCCTAGCCCCTAACCCCCAACACTTTTCTCCCCCAGTCCCTTGATCCAGTTAGGATCTTCTTCTGTGGTGTTGTGCTCATCTGGCTTGCCTTCTCTACAGCTCCTGTCAGCGGACTTTGGTGGGCTGGCAGGACTGGGGGTGGGAAGCTGCTGCCAACCTTGACGGAAAGACGGCCCCACTCCCACTCCCGAGGCCAGAGCCAGGTCCATGCATCCCCTCATCACGTAGGGAAGACTCTAAGCCCACAGTCATTTCAGGGAAGTAAAATGCTGGCCCTGGGGTCCTTGGCTGGACCAAAGTGAGAGACTTCGAGGGGTGTGCCCGGTGTACACCTCTGCTGCCTTATGTTCCTGCTCTCCTGTTAGCTTTGGCACTCATATGCTCCTGGAGGCTACAACAAGAACCAGTGTCACTACACTCTTGCCTCTCTGTCCCCTCCCCTCCTCCCCTCCCTCCCATACCCTCAGCTAGGGCAGTCCTTGCTCCTGCAGTGTGTTCATTTTAACGAGGCCCCGGTGAGGAAATCCTTTCCCTGCAAGGCCGGGCTGGGCTCATGGCCCTGTTATAAGAGCATGTGGAGGCCAGGCCCTTTGCTCAGCAGACTCAGGGGCTCTGTTTTAGCCAACTGGAAATGGCCGGCCTGGGGTGCTAGCCCCCAAGTGTGAGCCTCATGCTAGTCTCAGGAAATGCAACCTTTTCCGGGCAGATCCAGTGGAGCCCCGGAGGTCACTGCCTTGCCCCTGGCCTGTGGGCTACGGGTCTCCAGGATACTCCAGGCCGCCCGCCCCTCCGGCTCCACTCGGAGCTGGCATTGCTGAACGTCGGCATCCCAGGAAACAGACCGCTCAGGCCGCTGCCTTCAGCTGGGAAAGACTGTTGCCTCCAGGTCATACGCGGCACTTTGCCTCCTTCCTCCCAATGTGAATCCAGCCCAAGGTAGAAGAGGAGCCTGAGAGGACCCTGAAAGCGCACGAGAGAGCTGGCTAGGTAGAGCTCCAGGTCTGGCTTCTGAGACTCAAGCAGCTGTGGTCGCTGCGGGCCGTGGCTGCTCCGAGCTCCGGGCCCAGAAGGCCGCACCACCGCTAGCGCGGAGCTCCAGCCACTTCAACCTCGGCGCCCCACGGTGACCGGGCCTTGAGGACTGAGCATCAGGGTGCCAAGGCGGATGGAGAGAAAAAGAGAGAGATAGAAGGAGAGACGGACAGAGGGAGAGAAAAGAGAGAGAGAAACAGGAGGGGAGAGAGCATAAGAAAGCCAGTTCTCTCCAGCCTGACAGGGTCTTGAAGCTGCAGCAGCGGCTTAGAGGAATCAAGACCGAGAGATAACTCTCCTTCGCTCTTCGCATGCTCCTGCGCCCAAGGCCAAGGCAAATTCTCTACCTGCTAGGCCCATGAGGCAGACGAACCTGAATGCAGAAAAGCTTCAGAGCACCGCAGTCAATGGCCCTATCTTTAGCTTTCTGGATCTGCCTGGTCCTTACCCTGCTCACCAGATGGGTGGAACTGGCTGGGACTGTTGCCCTTAGAAATGCCACCTGGAAATGCCACAGAGCTGGGGACTGCCTAGGAAGGAAGCTTTGCTCTTCAGCACTGCCCAGGCCTCTCAGAAAAGCTGTGTCATTTGGGAAGTGGGTCGCAAGAGCATCGAGGTTTCCTCTTGGATAATGAGCCATAGCAGGTCAGTGGGCCAGGACTTGGGCCTAGAGTCATGCCTCTCCAGGCTAAATGCAGAAAGCAGCTTCCCAGGCCAACATCTGGGAAGGTCCAGTATATGTTTGAGATAGTGGAGGCTATACAAATAAAGTAAAATACAATGATCTTAACTTATATTTCCTAACCTTTTAGGGAGTCAGGACCCTTCTGGAAAATCTAAGTTTTGACTCATTCTGTGAAAAATGCATATCGGTATATTCCCACAGTTTGACCCATCATTTCGAAGGAGTTCACACACCCCTCAGTCTTTTCCTTAGGTCCTCCAGAGTCCCCCAGTCTCCTGGGACTTGGGGGCCCTGCCAATTTGGCTGGTAAGACAAGCTGGGTGCCCTGCGGCAGACAGCTCAGGTCAGGGCCCTGTAGGGCAGCCAAATGGGCTTCTAGGCTGGATAGAATCCAGGGACCTGCACGTGCCAACCAAGGTTACAAAAGTCAGTTTGTACTGCGTCTGCTACAAAAGGCTGCCTCAGCCGAAGAGTAGAGGAGCTGGAAGGCCTGCTATGGGCCTCACAGGACGTGGCATTGGCACTTGGGTTTTCAGTGACCTTTTTGTGGTGAGCCAGATGTGTTTCTTTAGCATGACTTTTCCCCCTTGTAATAAACCAAACGGGATGTTGGGCTTGAGCTCTTTCTTGCTTTTAAAAAGAGTATGTAAGCTCATGTATGGCAGCCCCTCTCTGGCCCAGGACTGCCTTCCAACTCCCACCAGGGCTTGCTGAGCGGGAAACACAGCGAGACACTGTCCGTGAGCCGGCTGGCTGCAGGCGGGCCTGCTGCTGCTGGTTCAAATGAGAGGATACCAACGCAGCAGAAGCTCAAGTTAAACGCCTCCCTGGCCCTCTCGATTGGTCTCCTAGCCCCCAGCATCCCCGACCGATCCCCAAGGCTTCCATGCTCTCTAGACTTTAACACTGAAGTGTTAGGTTTCTCAATAAAATATTCCAGTTATTGAGCGCTTAGGCTTTCCTGAGATTCCCTACCCCAAGAGATTAAGAAAGCGATTCAATTGTAGTGTGGGTCGGCTTCCAGGCACTTTTCCTCCCTCGTGCTCGTTTGCCTTCTTTCTTTTTTGCCATTCTTCCCAGCTACTAAATTTCTCCCTCTCCCTCAGGGTACCTTTGACCTAAATCTTCAGTGCCTGCTTGCCTCAACCAGGCCTTATGCAGCGGTTACACAGTCACCTCCAGAGCCCATGTTTAATTTAGGAGGAAATACTGCCCATTTCTACCTGGGTAATAGCCCGCCAGCCCTATGGGGCCAAAATAAACACCAGGCCCATGGATTAAGGCCTTCGGCAAGGATTAGGCTGCAGTTCACTAGGTACTCCTTCTGAGTAGGCCCTTGTAAGCAATGAGAAATAAACTATTATGAAAAACAAGTTCCTAAAGAAAAAATACCAGGTCCTGAGATCGAAACTGCTGGTAAACAATTTGTGTCTGGAGGGCACTCTCAATGCTTTCAAGGCTCTGAATTATCCAGCGGTGGAGTTGGGCTGCAGCCCCACAGAAGAAAAATAAAGTCTGCTTTTACAAATCTGGCTTTAGCAGAAAAAAATTTAAAAAATCAGAACTTCTCAGATCCATGCATTTATGCATAGTTAGAAAATTTTTCCACAAGCAGTGACATTCTTTTCTGATTCATCTTTAAGAATGTCAACATTTTCAGGGATATTTGACGCGTCTGTTTTGAATCTATCAGGTGCAGTCTATTACTAAACAACATACTTTTAAAGTTTTTCTAAATCCAACCATTGAGATGGCCCCACCCCTGTTAGGGAAGTGTTGGGGCCTTTTCACACACCCTTTGAATTGCAATATTCTTAGTTTTGTTCATAACAAACTGCCTCTTGCCTTAGAACTGGAGGCAGCTCGGGCATTGTAGGGCGGGCTCCCGCTGCAGAGAGCAGCTCACTGGGTGAGCGCTCATTTCTTGCCTTGCTGCTTTGCTCCGGCATAGTTTGGGAGCCAGCTTTCAGCAAAGACTAACTATGATAGGCAAAATTTACACAACAGGGAGTGCCTACTTTCTCTGGGATTCCCCCCACTCACCATACACTGTATATTTGGGAAAAGAAAAAGATGTGGGAAACTAATGGAAAAATAGTATTAAAAAATAAATATAGGAGAAAGAGGGAATTTGAATCGGCCCTCCAAAATGTAAGTGAATTTTTATCATTTAAAATGTGTTTGATGACAACCCCGATGGAGTGATTGCTCCGTCAAAATTTATCCTTGGCCCCAGCTTTTAAAAAAAAGTGTTAGTATTTACCAATACATTTTTGCATATTTGCAAAATATCTTTTACAAAAGATCTAATTTTCACATGTAAGAAATTGCTGCAAAATCGCGGGATTTATAACAGCGTACTCCAAGTATGCAGTACAGAGACTGGTCTGGCACTCTCAAAAATCACATGCGACTTCTCCGAATTGGCCTTCTTCGGAACAAAGGTTTTCTCCAAGCTACTGGGCAGACCTAGAGACGCACCTAGTGGGAAACCAGTGACCTCCAGGACGTCTGCCCCTGGGAATGTGCTCGCCTTACCGGCCGCAGACTTCTACCACCCCATTGTTTAGAATGGAAACTTTCTGTTTTCCTCAACCCCCGATCATCTCTCTCTCTTTTTGTTTCCCCTCCCACAGCCCCCTATCCCAGCACAGCTGGAACCCTTTCGCCTAGATACCTCTCATCCCTAGCCCATTCTATTCTGAATATTTCTACAAAAATCGAACGATTCGCCTTGGGTGAAATGCTAGCGCAAGGAAATAAAATCCTCAACTTTTCTACTTAGGCCTCCCCCTGCTTTCCAACCTTCGGGAGCAATGGGGTGGGGGTTCCCTACCGCATCACCCCACAAACCCAGCCACGTTCCCGAGAACCCTGCTTAGACATCGGCCACCTTCCCACTCGCGCCCCACCAGACTGAAATTGCTAAACTTGTGGCCTCTTACCTTGACACATTTCCGAAATCACTGCCAAGGGGCAGCTGGCTTCTCCGCGCGGCGACGCTCGCGAGGCCTAGCGAATGCGCGTTGCTTTAAATTACAATACTAACCACTTCTTAGGGTGAGCCCCCTTTTTCTGATACGAAGGGGAGCGGGACAAGTGAAATAATGTACCGTGCTGCTCTTAGTATCAGAAACGAACAAAGGCCAAGAATCACGCTGGGGTTCCCGGCTCCCCGGCGGCTTTGACATTGATCGGAAGTGCGCCATCTCGTGGCGGCTGCGCGCCTAGGTTGGGCCGAAGCTCCAGCTCCGAGCCGAGAGAGGGAAACCGGCTTCGGGCAGAGAGGGAGAGAGGAGAGGATGTGCCCAGCCCGCAGCTATTGAGATCTCATTTTTACATCTAAGAAATCGCTGCAAAACCCCAGCCGGGTTTATAGTGGCGCATTCCAAATATGCAAATTCGCCGGCCCCAGACGGGTTTACGACCATATTGTCACAGCCATCGGAGGATGGGCTTTTATAGGGCTCAGAAATCAAACCCGCGCCCGCCCGCCGCCCGCCCGCGAGCAGTCCTCCTGACTAGACTCTCTCTAGCAACTTGAGAGACTTTGGTTAATCTTTAACCATCCCAAAGGAAGTCTTTCCCTAAACCCAGGCTTCCCAGCCCGCCCCCTCCCTGCCCCCCAGGAGGGCCCTTGTTCGTCTCTGCGTGTCTGCCTATCAACCTAGACATTCATCTCGGGGTCTGTCCCACTCCCCTTTAGCTTGATTTCCCCAGTCGCGCCAGTTAGACAAACACACAAACAAATAAACAGAGTGGGGTCTGGGGCCTCTCTCCAAATGCGACCCTATCTGCTGCTCTGGCCCTGCCTGGGTGGCTGAAGAGAGGGTGGAGTGGGCAACAAAGGGCTCTGTCCTTTCAGCCCTTCTCCTCAAGGTTATGGGTGATGTCCAATTTTAAGGCAGAAGTTCAAAGGCAGCAAACAAAGAGGAAACCGGCATCCTTTTTTTTTTCTTTTTTCCCAAAGGGAAAAAGCAGCCTCAGCTGGGAGCTGGGGAAAAAGCACCCTTAGAGGCTCCTGGGAGTCTGCTCTGCCTTGGAACCCAGACCGGGCTTGATGAAGCCTCCACGGGCCCCCGGACGGTCCCATTGTAGGCCTAGCGGTCCTGAGGTGAGCGAGGGCAGCCTGGGGTCTGACCTGTTGGCCACCTCAGGCCCCAAGGCCCTCTCCAGGGCTGAGGTCAGTCTGAGGGGATAAAGTCCATTATTCCAGGCCCTGAGATACCCCATCCCCAGGTCCCCACTTCCCACAAGGACATAGCCAACCACCTTGGCTTCCTAAGCCTGGCTTCTATTGTAGCCAATTCCTGACTTAGTCACCTTCTCACCCTTTCAGGGGCCGGATAACTTGCCCCTCAACTAGGTAGGGCGTTTTTTTGGGGGGGTGGGGGAGGGGGGCAGACATTTGGCAGTAAAAGGCGATCAGGGAGAGGAATGTCACACCAGGATACTCCAATTTCCACCGTCTTTATTTTCCTTGTGCCCAGTTGCCTGTATACATGCTGCAACACACACGGTGGGTAAGAACCAGAATTGAGGACAGGCCAACACTCCCAGTACAAATGGAGCCAATAGACATTTCTTAATACAGGGAGGCAAAGGAGATTCAATGGGAGGGTACCTGGCTTTCCCAGATGAGATCCCCAGTCTGGGCAGGCCGACTGCCTCTGAGCATTTCCCTAACACTTTCCAAATGTTGCAAGAGATTAAAAAGACCATTCTTAATACCTTTTCCACCCCCTCCAACACCCCAAAGGAAATCAACTAATGGCAAAAAAGAGAAAGAAAGAAAGAAAGAAAGAAAGAAAGAAAGAAAGAAAGAAAGAAAGAAAGAAGGAAGGAAGGAAGGAAGGAAGGAAGGAAGGAAGGAAGGAAGGAAAACAAAATTGGTTATGGTTTCTTTATTTACAAGTTTTTTGAACACCATCCCTGTATGAAGCATACATTCAAATATTCTTAGCAGTGAGCGAGTTTAACCATGGAACACTGTAAACAGATAGAGCCTTTAAATATTTTCATCATCTCTTTTCCCCTCTACATTGCATCTTTTAAAATTCGCTTTGGTTCCTTCAGGGAAATATATATATATAATATAATATTTATCTTTTAAAATAATTCCACCTCACTCTCAGGCTCTTGGAAGGTCACCAGAAGCTTCCAAGCTCAGTTCAGGAGCCAATGAGGGTAGAGTGTGGTGCTGGAACCCGGTGTTTTGGGGGACTCAAGGCCCTCATAGCCAAAGCTGGAGACCTGCTGGCCAGGCCTGCTGCTCTGCAGCCAGACACTGAGCAAATCCAAGCTTCATTACATGTGGTGGAGAGTTTGCCAAACTGCCGCACTCCACAGCCATTTCCTGCAGAGATCTCAGGGGCCAGTGGCCTGGCCGCAGCTTCTTGGCTTTTCCATATCTCCCACCTCAGGGAACAGTCCACTCTGTGACGAGGCTTTGGGCCTGAGTGGTAGGCTGAAACCAAGACCCTCATTTGGTAGAAAGAAAAGCCAGGTGGGCTGTAGGAGGCGGTGGCTAGGAACTCAGGGCTGGATAAGTGTAGTGGGTGGCTAGGAGGAGTGGAAAGACACTGACGCCACCTGGAATCACAGATTTCTTTTCCCACAAGGATTTGCAGCCCTCTTCCACCTCATAGCCACCTCTAAGTCCAGCCGCCGCCGTTCACATTGGCTTTGGAAAGCAGCCTCATTCTGGGCACCTAGTAATCCTACCCCTTCCTCCTGCCCCTGTCCCCAAGCTGAACTGGTCTTGGAGAGCACACAGCTTTTTGACTCAGGGGTCCTGGGGGTGGGTAGGCTCCCAGTAGAGGGAGGATGTGGAGGGGTTAGCCTCCAGGGGGTCTGGCAGGGGGCCCAGTCCCCAGTGGAGACCACACCCAGCCCGCAGCTCTGCAGGCTCCAAGAGTGAACCACCAGGGGTCCCAAACCTGTCATTCTAGCTGATACACAGCTCTCAGAATCCAATGATTATTAGGAATCTTAACCACTGAGATCTTAATCAAGAGAGTCCCAGGCCGCCTCGTGTGGGGCTATCTCCATGCATCCCTCTCTTGCACACCTCTTTTCAAAAGTCACCATGTGGCTTGACCTTGTCAAGGGCAAAATCTGCATATTATCTCATGTGTATGAAGCCCCCCACCCAATTCCAGCCGCTGGAGCCTTAGAGGAGTGGATTCGCTGAGTAGTACTGTAAACGGTCTCTGTTAATTTTTTTTTCCTTCATTCTCCTGTTCTGAAACCAGATTTTGACTTGACGATCAGTGAGGTTGAGCATGCGGGACAGTTGCAGGCGCTTCTCTTTGTTGATGTAGACGCTGAAGAAGAACTCTCGCTCCAGCTCTCGGATCTGGTACTTTGTATAGGGGCAGCGCTTTTTGCGGGTGCGTTGGCCACCTGTGAAGGGAGAAAAGGCAGGGGGTGAGTCCGGTGTGGGGCTGCAATCCACCCCAGAGCCCATAGCTGAGGAGAAGGGCTGCCACAGGGACTGGTGGTCCAGCCCAAGCCCCGTCAAAGTCTCCCCAGGCCCCTGCCTTTAACTCTATGACTGCATGCTTGGAACCGTCGCAGTTGGAGGCTCAGCCACAGATAAAAGCCAGCTCCCTAGATAGGCCCCCGGGGAAGCTGCTCCCGCTGCCCCTAGAACAGAAAGGAGGGCTTCGCACAGCAACAGGCGAGTTTGCGCTGCCTAAGCCTCTTTGAAAGCAGCCGAGTGGGGGTTGCCGGCTGCCTCTAGCCGGCCAGACTAAACAAACAGCCGCCTGCGGACATTTCACCTTCCAGCACCTGGGCTGCCCCTTCCCAAGGCAGTAAAGGCGGCTCCAGTCCCAATCTTTCCAGGCTGCGGCCAAGACTGGGCAGTCGTTAACATCTGCGGCGGCTGCCGGGTCTTTGTCAGCCTGAGTCCTGGCCACCAGCTCCTGCCTCCCCAGCCAGCCTCCCGGCTCCCCCGAGGTGGGGAGGTGGCAGCGGAAGCCCCCTACCCCAGGCCTTCGCTGAGCACCACGGACACACGGTCACCCTGCACACGGCAGAGCAGTGGCGCTATCTTAGGTGGGGTGAAGGCAAAGGGGGCTTCCCGAAGCTGCGGGCAGGCTCTATTGATCCCCCTTAAAAAAAAAAGAAAAGAAAAAAGAAAAAAAAAAGACCTACAAGACAAGAAAAAAAATCGCTTTTGACAGATTGAATAACAATTGTGAATAACATGCAGTTGGGCAGAAGGAGGCACGTAATTGCCACCACGCCAGAGGAAAATGGCTTCCTTTGGACAAAAAGGCCAACTTTGGGTTAATTTGTTTCTTTTAATATATTGCTGGAGCTAAGCGGGCTACTTTATCTGTTAAACGCGCTCCTAGCGCCGTCGTTAAACAGCGACGCCTTTGAATCCCGGCCGGACTGGAGTCCCGGCGCAACACATGGCTTTTATAAAAATCTCCGGATTACCTTGCTATCAAAGGCTCCCGAAGCCCTTGCAGGGGGAATTTACAGGCGCCCACCTCTGGCTCCCCAGCCCGGAGCTGGCCCCGAGCGGGGTCGAGCTGCCGGGCTTGGGAGCTGAGAAGGGAAAAAAGCGAAAAGAGGAGTTGTTTTTTTTTTTGCAGACATGCCTTGGCCGGTGGGTATTTCACGGCCAATTTCAGCACTCGCCACGTGATCCCGCCTTTTATAACAAAGTTTTGTTGGGGGAAACCTAAAGGCCCTTCATAAACCTTATATGCTTATAAAACAGCATATAAAAATTTAACAGCGGTGCTGCGCTAGATTTCCAACTCCCCTTTCATAAAGCGCAGGGCGCTGCCTTTATACGTACTGGAGCCGCCGGCCTTGTCCTCAGTGTGGCCGGAAGACGACTCTGGGCTGCTGCTGCTCTCGGGGCGCCGCCGCCGCTCTTTCTCCTCCGCCGCCGCCGCCGTCTCCCGGCAGCCGCCGCCGCCGCTGTCCGAACTTGAAGTTGCCGGCGCGCCCGTGGCTGCCGCCGCCGCGGAGGTCGCCGTGGCCGCCGGGGGCCCCTTCTCGGCGCTCTTGTCCCCGGGGTAGTCGGAGGAGGCGAGGTTTTCCGGGGTGCCGTAGGCTGTCTCGAAAAACTGGTCGAAAGCCTGTGGCAGGACGCCGTTCCTGCCCACGGTGCTATAGAAATTGGACGAGACGGCGGGGGTGGGGTGGTGGTAGACGTTGGCGGAGCTCTTGGCCAGCACGTCGCCAGGCACGCCGGCCGCGCTGGGCGCCTGCAGGCAGTCTCTGTGCACGAGCTCCTCCGCGGAGTAGCAGTGGGCCAGATTGCCGCGGGGGTGCCATTTAGTGGCGGGCTCAATGGCGTACTCTCTGAAGGTCACTTCGCGCACGGGTTGGACCTGGGGCAGGTTGGAGGAGTAGGAGTATGTCATTGGGCGCGAAGACGGGGTCTGGGGCAGAAAAGAAGGGAGGCTGGAGAAATCTGGACCCGAGACGTAGTAAGTACAACTTGGCAAATACATGTTAGAGGAGCAGGGACCACGCTCATCAAAATCCATCATTGGGCTACCTTGGGATCTCCGCAGTAGCCGAGCTTAACATGATTCTCCACTGCAGCTGCCTCTTTGAAGCGGATCCGTGAAGTAGAAATTTGGAGACGTAAGCTGACGTGGAAATCTATCCCCATCCTTAGCAGGGAGGTGCTGGTCATGTGACCCGATGTTGAAATTGACAAGCTGCGAGCTAGTCCGGGCCTTTTTTCCCCCCCCTTTCCTTTTTTTTTTTTTTTTTCCTCCCCTCCCCTCCCTCCCGGCTTCCTTTCTTTGTAGCCACCTCAGGGGAAGCAACAGATCGTCACTCGGTGTTCTCACCGAAAGCACGTAATCGCCGGTGTAACTCATGTTCGCTGGGGGCCTCCCGGCGCGCGGAGAGGCTGGGGTGCGCCCCCATGCAGCATGCTTGTGCTCAATTGCAGGGTCCTGGTTCTCGAGTGTGCAGAGGGCGGTGAGAGCTCAACTCTCGTGCCCACCTCCCACCCGCAGCTCTCCGGGTGGGTGAGGGGTGCCCTGGACTGGGGATAGCCAGGTGGGAGCCCGTCGCTGTGTGGCTTGTGGTCTCGGAGTCTGTTCTCCTGGAGGCTCGCATTTGCACCCCGTTCTTCGCAGTCCCCCTCCCATAGACTTGCTCTGGGAAGCGCCTCTGCCTCCGACCCTAGCCGGCACCCCTTCGGGGCCAGAGTTTGAAGCCGTGGATGTGCCTGCCTCATGGCTTGTCCGATTTGCACGGTGACTTGATTACACTCTCTCATTCATGGTCACTTCCGAAGCGCTTTAGTGCCTTCCGTCCCTAAACCGCCCACAGCCAGAACGGCTTCTCCCCGCGGTTTGTCACTGATCCGCAAGGCCCGGAAGGGCCTTCGTCTTACCCGGGATCCACCTCTCCCCTCATCTTCCCTGCCTGCCTCCTCATCCCACCTTCTGTCCTTGGAGAAACCCCCCCCTCCTCGCTGCCTGCCGGGCTTCGGAGTGACTCGGCAGAGACAGAGGCACAGGGGCTGCCCCGCTGCTCACCGGTCCACCCATCTGCCTGGTCTTCTGGAGCTGAGGACGCGGGAAACCATGCAATTGAGGCAACCCTTGGGCTGCTTTAGAGGCGCTGACATCCGAGGAGCCTTCTCCTGGGTATGCTGCATCTTCGTGGGGGGCCCACCAGGCTGCTTGCAGAGCTCCAGGGGTGTGGGGAGAATGGGGGTGGAAAGGACGGGCTGAGGGCCAAGGAGAGGTGGCTGAGAAAGGGGTAACTCGCCTACTCTCCTGCTCTCCTTCTCTCTTTCCTTGCAATGTGTGAGAGTGAAAGCAAGGGATGTGCAGGGCAAAAACTCAGAGAGCTCTGTGCCTTTCCTACTATTCATTCCACAGAAGGAATACAATGCCAGAGAAAGGAGAGGTGCTTCCCCAACTCCCTGCACCTGGGAAGACAGGGATGCCTTTAAAAGGCTAGGTTTGTGCTAAGGATAAAGAGAGACCATAGCAATACTCTGAGTCTAGCTTTCTTGAGAAGAGGAAAAAAATAAATTAAGAAGGTAAAATATGCTCCACAACCTGCAGGATTGAAGGAGCAATGTTTGGAGGAAGCGAAAGAAGGGAGAGGACACAGAGCAGCCAGGCAGGGCCAGGAGCTGAGAGGGGCCCAGACCTGAGGCCTCCCAACAACTCTCTTCTTGGAAGGATCTGGAGTGTTGCTGAAGGAAAATAAAAGATATATAAAAAGATAACCTTTTGCTTTTCCCTCTCCAGGAAATAGCCAAAGGTATTTACATATTTTGGGGGAGATTTAGAGTATAAACTCTAAGATCTTTGGTATATAAGTGTCATCATCGATTTATTTATTTATTGCTGAGCTGACTGTAACTGACTCAATAACAAATCTAATCATGTATTGCACTGGAAAAGAAATATTCTCATTATGTATTTTCTCCAAATAATGGCCTACCATTGCATTTGAATACCTGCTGTAAATATCAATAATATCGAGTAATTACTCTGTACTCGAGTAAACTAATTTACTAGCATTAATGTTTCTGTGGCTTTCCACCTCCCCCCACCACCACCTTTACAAGGATTGCTTATCACAAATCAAGCTACTTGGACACATTGGTTTAATGAACTCTTTATTCAAGATTTGCTACAAGAACTTTCATGTCCCTTGAATCCCTGAGAACTGAATTTGAAATTATTTGTGCATCTTCAGCTTGACATATTTGTCCACTGTGGCTTGTCCAGAGGGCAGCAGTGCTGTGAGTGAGAAGTTCCAATGGGAAGGAAGGTTATTGGAGAAGAGTAGCTTCAGACCTCCTAAAGCTGGGAAGCACATTTACAGAATTGCCCTGCAGCGAAAAAAACTTCTATTTCCAGCAGTGACCAACAAGGCTAAATATTTGTTTCTCCACAGCATCTCTTTTTTAGAGACAGAATATAAAAGACAGAAGGAGAGGTTTCAAACAAAGGTATTCCAGCTGTTCCCTGGCTTGATTTTGGCTATCCCAAACTCTCTCTCTGCAGCCCACCCAGTCCTCACCACCCCTACCTTCGAACAAAAGGAATGCATGAAGGGTTTCAGTGACTTTGCCATAACAAAGGCGCCACCATTGCGGGGCTCGCCCCGCCCCTGGGTGAAGGCAAACAAATTCTTGCACTTGTATTAGGGCTTTTAAGACCATAATTGAACCCGGGGGCGTCTAGGAAAACCGAAAACAGTTCTAGACAGACCTGCGGTTTTATAGCAGTTTTGGCAGTCAACTTCAGCTTGTGCCTGAACAGACGGGGCTGTGGTGGCCCGCCAGCGGGGGATGCCAGGCCACCTCCCCCAGCGGCACACAGCCCCTCTCTTAATTAGATCGGTTTTCCCCTGGTGTCAGGGAGAGCGGTCCCGGCAGAAAGGTCGGTATTGGGGTGTGCGCTGTTCCGCATAACCATTGCCTCCCATGTCCTCCTGGAGAGCCAGACCGAGAGGGTGCTGGCAGGGCTGGATCCCATAGGTGTCCGCAGGAGACAAAGGCGAATTCCGGATAAAAGGCTGGGGGTGAAAAAGGCGCTCCGGGAGCGGCTGGCAGGGCATTTCGGCAGGCTGCACCGAAGCCGGGTGCCCGGAGGGACTTGCAGCCTGGAAGTGGGTGTGTGGGGGCGCTGCCGTGAAGATGGATGAGGGAAAAGGCTTTTGATATCAGCAGAAGGGAAAAAGCCTGAAGTGACCGAACGCTTTTAGTTGCCCAGCAGGAATAGGAGAAGGGTACTCAGGTCCCCAAGACTGCGCAATGTCCCAGTTTTGCCCGCTCCTGCCCTCGTGTGCGGAATACGCTGGCGGTGTGAATGTGAAGGTTTCTCCAGGCAGGCGGCTGGGGTGAGGGGTGGGCGCAGCTCTGAGGATCAGACCAAATTCAGGGGAAGAAGGGAAGGCAGACCTTCAGGTCCTTGGTTTTGACTTTGCTCTGATCCTATGATTGACTCTTCCGCTTTGCAGGAGGTCCAACAGCCGAGCGTAACCCACTGGGCTCTGGGAAAGACCCGACTGAGGCTAAAGCCGCCCCGGAAGGCCAAGTCCGAGTTCCATTTCTTGAAGAGGCCGGCGCGGGTAAGGCTGTGACATTGGCCCTGGCGACTGGCTTCCCAGGAGCTGTTCTTTCTCAGGAGCTCCAGAGCTCGCGCCATCTCCAGAAAACTGTTCAGGGTGTATTTCCTTTTATCGTCAACCCAGAGCCCCACCGCGGCTAATGCAAGAGGCCAAAAAATGTTTGGAGGAAGAAAAACAAAGGCAGGAAGTGGCGGCGGCCTGACGGTGCGTGTGTGTCTGCAGAGAAGGGAGGGAGCCCGGTTCAGTCTCTTCTTGTTTTTCCAAATTTCAAGGTCCAGGCAGCCCTCTGCAAGGCTGGGCCCCATCGCTCCCCGCACGGCATTTGGAGGTGGCCACCCGGAGAGGAGAAGGCCGACGCCCGCGCCAGGCTTGTCAGGCGGAAACAGCTAACAAGGAGATTTGGTCAGCAAAACAGACCGAGCCTTTCCGAGGCTTCGTCTGATTTGGCCCGAAAGGTTGGGGAGGGGGGGCTTGCGCAGCGCCTCCGGGACCCTCCTCTCTGGGGACGACCATCCCTGAGCCTTACGCTTCGTTCCACCGCCTTTGCAAGCGGAATATCGGAATAAAGTGGGTCCAGGCGCCTCTGCCGCCTCCGCTTCTTCTTGCAGCCGGAGGGGTCCGGGAGGCAGCGGGAGGGCGCCGGCGGGCAGTGCCCAGGCGGGGTGGCCTTGAAGCCGTCGGTGCGCACCGGGCAATGCGAGGCCTTGTTACCGTGGTTGTTGTGCTGGGGGCGTTTCCAGCACAGTCATTCAAGGGACGTGAGCTGCAAGGATCGTCACTTGACAGGCAGCTTAACACCCTCTCACTCCAAGGGAGGATAGAGCTGGGTGGCCGGGAGCACCTCCACACTCCAGGCTTCTCAGCTCCAACTGACAAAGCTGCTGGGCCACCCTCTTCTCTCCTTGGGGCTAGCTTGGGAGGCAGCAGCTGCTCCTTGTCCCAGAAATCTGAGAATGCGAAGTCCCCAGTACTTGCACATGCAGGCCTTTGAATGCCCAGCATTTGTCCACAGTCTCAATGTCAATGCCAAGCTGCCCCAGTCACCACTGTCCTTCTCAAGGGGGTCCTGTCCCCCTACAGTTCCTGATCTTGCTCCTGTCCCCCCTAAAGTTCCTGTCTCCTGCCCTGCCTCCTTCCAGCCATTCTCACCTGCTGGGACTCTTCCGTACCTTTTTTGATGCCTCTGCTAGACTGAGCAAGGGCTGAGGTGCCACTGGAGGGCACCCAATACTCAGGTGCAGAGCAGAGGGGCTGTTAGGTCCCTGACTCTCCCCCAACTTCGGGCCTCCACCAGAGCCTGAACTAAGTCTCCCACCTCCTTCTTTGGAATACTCCACCCCAAGGCCCCACCAAATCCGGCTTATCTCCCTTCCTCTCCCCTCCCTTCTCTAGCCTCCTTTCTTCCCCAACACTTCCTCCTTCTCTTCTGCAGACCCAGCTGCTGCTTTTCTAGGCTGGGCAACCCAGATGGGATAGGCCTGGGAGGGGTGAGGACCCACTTGACAGACTGAATCTCACTCCCAGATGGCTACAGTTAAGTTTCTCTCTTGTTGGATTGCTTAGGGCACCATCAATATTTTGCCTCCTCCTGCTTGCCTAAGCCCTTACTTTCCTCTGCCCACAAATGTCGCACTGTTTCTAGAAAGCTACACAGAAGAGTATTTCAACCCTGGTGATCATACTGCACACAGGTGCAAGAACTGGCCGGGAGGCCCTGGGTAGAAATGGCAACAGAGCTCTTCTCCTCCATTTCAGGAATATCTCCTTCCAAATAGAAGGGTTCCTGTGGGCACGTCTGTTTTCCATGGTGAGCTGGGGAGGTGAGTTGCCCGGGAAGGCCCAGGAGATCTCCCAGTATTTGTTCTCAGGGCATGGCTTATTGCCAGATCATTGCCAATCTATCACATTTTCCAGGCGCTGCACAAAGGCAGCACTGAGGCTTCGATAAAAAATCAAGAGATCACCTCTGTCACTACCAGGTGGAGGCAGGGGTTAATTTGTCCCTTTGCTGAGACACCCACCCTCCCCCAAGGTCCCCTACACTTCCTAAAAGCTCAGAAATAGGTAGTGCCCTGAAGTTGACCTCATAATTCTGCTTGGTCTGACTGGCAGTTTCAGTCATCCTTCAAAGCCCCTAAATATCTGAAAAGGCCCATACCCTTCCCCTGGCCACTGCAGAGTGGGGCACAGGGCTCAGCTGAGGGTCTCAAGTACCCAAGCAATCTGGTTATCATTTACATTAGTGGATCCCAAACTGAAGGGAGAAGAGAAGATTTACTTCCTTTATTAACTATTTTTATTTTTATTGTTGCCAATTATTAGACTTCTTTTTCCTATAGAGTGGGAACAAATGGGGTGGGGGAGACTTTGAAGGGCGAAGCCCTAGTTCTCAGGATCTGCCTTCCATTCCCCGTGCAGCTTTGGCCCAAACGGGTTTCCCAGCAGAGTGTGTCTGAGATAAAGAAGACAAAAGGGGGTGGCCCAACCCAAAGGTTGGCTCTGGTCCTTGGGCCTCGGTCCCCACAGCCGTAGCTCACAGGAAGCCCGCATGCCACAAAGCTCCAACCTGCTTCCTAGGGCAGCTCCATTTCCACTCAGTGCTCGTGGTGGCTCACATTCCAGGCTTGAGAAGAACCATCACCCCATCCAGCCCTCCTCCCCTACACACCCTGCCAGGCATTTCTGCTACCCATTCACAGACAATTGTTTCTGCTATATATGCCCCCACAGCACAGCCCATCCATGTAGCCCTAGGGGTACAACTCAGATTTTTCGCTTCCGCGAAAAGAAATCCCTTGCACGTCCTCTTTGGTTCACCTGGAGAGACAGGCTCAGCGGCAGATCAGGCTTAAGCTAACTGTTTACCGCAGGGCCTGATGCTCTGACCTGTTGGAGGCAGGCTATGGGCAGGAGGTAAGGGGCTCTCTCCCTCGCAGAGTGCAGTGAAGGATTCTTGGGGGCTGGGAGTCAAGGGTTTTTACCTTGGAAGATTGCGCCTCACATCTCAGTGTGGATTTTAGGCAGGAGAAGAGCATCAAGGGTCTCACCAAAGGCCTGCCACGCACTACGGAGGGGCCTGGACTCAGGGACCCCAGGAGAGGCTCTCCAGCAGGGTCTTGGCTCCCCTATCCTCTTCCCCGCCAAGTTGGCCCTGCTCGGCCCTATGTTCCTACCAGGACCCAGAACTCCGATCCAGCCACGTCCTCTCCCCTGGGCTTGCAGGCGCTCCCTCTCGCCCCTGCTAGGCCTCAGCGGGCTCCGAAGTCTGCTGGACTGGGGCAAATGCCGCTCTTCTGGGACGGGGACACAGCCTGGGCCACCCGTGGCTGCCAGGACTCCTTTCCAACAAGGCTGGGAATGGGAGAGTTGGAAATCAAGAAAGAACCTCTGCCTCCAGTGCACGAGCCCAGAGCCCAGGCTACCAGAACCCGCTTGCAGCAAGCTAACTGCACGTCCTGTGCCTTCTTGAGACCGCGGTAGCGACCGGCCCTGACCGTGGAGGCGGCCGTGGCGCGGAGGACTTGACCTTTACGGCGAGAGAGAAGGGCGCTCGCTGAGCGGCGGGGAGGGGGACTCTGCTCTCTCCAGCCTCCTCCACCCAATAGCAGTCCGCTCGACCCACGCCTGCTGCGCGCTCACCCCCTTTCCTCCTCCATTTTGTGCAGAGTCCGCAGACCCGAGGCCGGAAACAAAGCCCCCAGCCCTGCTCTCACCACCCTTCTTGCAAGCGGCTGTTGCCAACCCCCCCAGGCCAGAGGCTCAGAGCTAACGCCAAGCTCCTTAAGGCCCTCTCTCCACGGCCCTCTTCTCTCGCCTGACCCCAGCCTCCCTCAGCCAGCGCCTGGGTACCACTCTGGGTGCCAACCGGGACCTGCCGGTGCCACGGTCCCATGCGCGGGGTCCCGACCTCGGGCTGCGGGCGGCGCCGGGGCCTACAGCCCAGCGGCACGGAGCGTGGTAGAGGCGCGGGGCGCAGCGGAGCCCGAGGCTGCCTCCCGCCCGGGCGGCCGGCGCGGCCGGTGGGGTGCACAGCGTGGCCTCGCGTGCCCGGCTTGCTCTCCGCTCCCTCGGATCGCTCCCTCCCCTCGGCTCCGGGTTCAGAAAGCGGAAGTATTTGGTAGAGAAAAACACGGTTTCTTTTCAGCTCGTCTCAAAATCCCTTTTAGAGAATATGCTCCTGTCAAGTTTTATTTCCCGTTGCAAACCACCTTCCACGCTGCCAAGAATTAAGACCGGGAGAGATTAAATACCGGATTATTCTCTTGAGGAGGGCGGGGCGGGGCGGGGAAGTGGGCACCCGCACCAAACATTCCTTGAAGTCGGCTTGTGCTGATCCAGCCGCGCCCGGGGAGTCCCGCGAAGGCCCGCGCGGCCTGCGGTGACGTCAGCCTGCACTTGCGGGACCACTCACCCGCACAGACCCGGCCCTCGCGGTTCCGCGCTGGGACCTCAGCCCGCCGTCCTACCGCAGCCCCGACCGGCCCGCGTGCCGTCTGAGGGAGGCCGGCTTTCCACCGGCCTGAACCTCCATTTTGAGTAGGGGGTTCTTGTAGAAGCGTGGAGGGTTTGGGGCCGCGCCTCAGTCCCTGAGGGGCGCGACATCAGGTAGCTCTCGGAGTTCACACCCCAGTACCTGGGGGAGGTCCTATGTCGCCGCACAACCGCCCTCAGAGGTTTGGAAATCTCTGAGACCCGTTGTAATTATTTCTGCCGGGTGGATCCGGCTCTTCAGGGCCACGAGAGCCGGGCAGAAATGAAATCAACTGTGGCAAGGCCTTGGCTGCTTTCATGGAGGAATTTTTCTGCGCCAGTGTCTTTTTTTCTTCCCTTTAAAATAAAATTAAAAATAGCAAGCACTATTCAGGCATTCATCAGAGATAGGTAGATGCACAAGGATTGAGTGGGCATTTTCATAAAGAACGAGGCCGGCTGTTACGGACCCGGCGGCCTAGCAGATGAAAACTTAATTAGCGTGCCTGTCCTAAAACCTAGGCATAAATCTCCCTCTGCCTTTTGGATAACTCTACATCTTCGCTTATGAGAAACGGGATGTGAGCAACTCGCTGCACATTTCTCTGATTCTCCAGGTCTTGGTCGGCTGACACGCATTCGATCAAGTTTAAAGGAATGCGCATAAATCAGCAAACCCCTACCGTCTCCTTGGGAGAGGTCCGCAAATCCAGGAGGGCGCCTCTGAACCCACCGGGTCTGGGGATTAGCAGTCCAGGGCAACCTCCGTCTGGGCTTCTGAACTCGGGAATTCGCAGAGGAAGCAAGACACTGCATCTTCACCGAGCCCTCCAAACACATGCAGTAGAGTGCAATCTGCACTTACATCTATTACAAAGTGAAATCTGTGTCAACTCTCCACACACAAATGTTGCATCTGCAGCTGAATTTCGCTGCCTAGTGGTGAATTTTTAAGAAAAGATTTCAACTAGGTTGTTTTAATTTTTTTCTTTCCTTTTCTGTTACTTATTTTTAACCCACAACTTGAATGGGTGGCTTCAGCTCTGCATCAGTCACAAATAGGAGTAAAATGCACAGCGACATTTAACAATCATCCACTTAAAGTAACTAAA